TAACTGACTAAAGCAAACACAACTTTTTTAAGTGTGCTCGAAATTAAAAAAGATATTACTTTATTTATATATTAACGTAATTTTTCTTTTAGGTGGCTATAATAATTCATTTTTTCGCCGTGCCGTTCGTGATAACATTAGCAACATCAGTTGCTTTATGTGTTATGCACTGTGACTGCCGATGCCACGTAGTAGCGCACCATAAGAGAGTGCGAAGGTCCCGCATGCACCAAGACTTTAGTGACGGTTCTATAAGCACTGGGGTTGATCTTCATCATACTATTAGTCATCATTCTGATCTTGTTGCTATACGTAACATGTGATGTTAGCGTTTCGGTCTAATTCACGTACAGGGTGAGCCAAAAGGAATTGGCCCAACTTTATTCTTCTTATCAATTAATATTATTCCTGTTTTAAACAACACATCACAGAACTGGTTAAATTTATAGTATCTAACGTAATATATTTATTACCTCATTCATTTATTTTCAATTTATAAAACGAAGATATCTCTATTTAGACAATAAATACATAGGAATGATTTTGCTTCACCCAGTATGTGAAATTATATTAATAGTCTAAGAGCTGCTGCTGAGATCTGGTTTGGTTTTATGGGACTCCTTAAGAAAGGGATCAATTTTTAATATTCTGCTAGCCAACTTTCCTCACAGTACATTAGTATTGCTAAAATTTACACTAAGTACATACACGAAAGGATCTCAGCACTGGCAAATGTTGGAACAGTTTCGATTTCATTAAATTTTTATGGCTCTTAGACTATTCAAATATCCATTTTTTAGGCAATTATTCCTTTTATGATTTTCTTAATGTACTATTTTGTCTGTTAGATATTTGCGTAAATGTACCTATTCATCTATTTATATTAACTGTAGGAATTTCAACTTCTACAAATATGTTATGATGTTTTCCTTTAGCTGTGATGACTACTGTAGTACTGTAGATGTGATGTTTAATTAAGTTTATTATTTTCAGTATAAAAATGTCAAAAAAAAGTTAAGTAATAGTAATAAGATTGAAGTTAATGTTATCAGATTTTCTCCAACATATTGTTCTGTACAAATTTTATAAGATTTTACCCTAACCTACATTTAAATACATTATTTTATATGTAGACCGTTGTTTCCGTCTTTCAAATATAAAATAAATAGAAGTGCAAAAAGATATCACCACGTAAAAGGAGCCCTTTCCCTAAGTACGCGAACTCCAAACTTCTCCCACTCTATTGCTGTAATCCATAATTCATGTGCTGTTTCTAAGCAAGACATTATTGACGCCCCCTTCCATGCCACCATAGCAGAATCCATATCCCTTGGATTTGTAATAATATCCAACTGCTCTATTAAAAAATAAAAAAAATAAAGTACATTAACATTATTTAATAAAGTTTACCTCCTCTGTAAAGATATGGGATCTGTAAAGAAATACGATTTTGTAACCACGTTGCTATTCCAGAGAACTTCATGCCTCCTCCAACTACTAAAATACATCCATACATTTTCCTTTTAAGATCTTCATTTGCTTAAAAACAAAAACTGAGATTAAAACAAATCAAGCTGGAAAGGCAATACTTTAAGTTCAATAAAGGAATTATACAGTAAATTTAAAAGACAATAAATTGAAATAAATTATACTTACGACATCGGTCAATGCTTTGCAACACTGCCTGATCTAATCCCAAAATTTGGCCGGGATTAACAACAAAATCTTTATCAGTCGTTATTACTGCAGAATCTATACCATCAACTACAATGTCGTCATCGTTTGTAACATTCTGACTTCCACTTTGCTCCAAATAATTTTCTCCAAAGGCGTCAGCTGAGTTTTGCTCGTTTTCTTTTAATCCCTTTTTCTAAACCAAACATAAATATAAAAAAATTATGTCTCCCAAAACTATATCATGAAGTACCCTTGATTCTCTTAAATAATTTTCATCGTGAGGATCCTCAGGGTCACCTAAAGACGGTTTCTGGGTATAGACTTGCTTTGGACCCGTAATTTCAAATAACTCGGGAGTAAATAAACTAAGCGGTGCCACAATACATTCATCACCAACTTGTATAGTATACTGTAACACCGGCCTCTCAGGTTGTTTTAAGATAAATGTTCTTTCTTGAGAACCACAAACATCCTATAAAATGCTTTTTGTTTGTTTCGATAAGAAAATAGAATAAATAAGCATACCAAATTAACGTGGCAGAAATCTTCTTTTAACTTCCGTAGTAACATTGAATCTAATTTATTTTGTTCATTACATGTTTTATATGGAAATGCGCATTTTTGAAGCAACCAGAAGAATACTTGTGTTATATCACCTCCACCATAATCAATTCTGACCTACAAAAAAGCTTTCTTTAATATTTTTTTTTTTTTATTTACACAATTACTCTTGTATTCCTATGGCAAATCCCATCTTCAACGCATGATACTGAAGTTTTTTGGTCCCCTACATCAACTACACAAGCATAACTTAAGCCTGATCCAAATGTTGCTGCAACATGATCCTACAATTGAATTTAAAGTAATATTTAAAACGTTAGAAAAAATTGCTGTAATTTACCTGAACTAAAAAGCAGCTTTTAAAACCCATTTTTACCAGTAAAAGGGTTACAAGTTCTCTTAAGTATGTTCTATTGTAGACATCAGGGACTACCAATACTGCTTTATAAAGTCTAAAAGATTTTTTATCTATATTAAAGTTAGTCTCTAAAACATAACTCCAAATAGTTTCTAAATCAGCCAAAACTGCAGTCATGGAGCCCCCAGGACCAGAATGAATATTAAAATCACCTCTTCGATATGGAAAATGTATATTATAATCTTCATGAGAATTAATTCTTAATATCTATAAAATAATATCCACTAGTATATGTTATACAATATGTGAAGTAAATTCTTACATCATTTCCCACAATAACATCAGATTCAAATTTAGTCCATTCTCCACCTGTTGTAGACAAAACCTCTGGTTGAACACGCCTATTGAATGCTGCAATTTGTTGAGGAGGTGTTGCATAACGCCTTCTTCCGTCAGATTGCAAGCAAGACTGTAAAGTATGAGAAACTTGAAGTCTTGCTTCTTCCATTTCCTGGGTCTACCAAAAAATGTACTGTTTAATCATTAAACATGAAATAGATAGCAGAAGCATACCACAGCAACTCTAGATGGTAAAAAGGAATCTTGATATTTATAACCAAGTTTTAAACGTTTCCTGGCAACTGCATGTAAAACTGTTACAGGATTCAAGTCAGAAGCTCTCCCTATCCTCAGATTAAGGGATCCAGGGTGAATTACAATAATAGACTTTGAATGAATATGCTATAAAAGAACTGTTTTATTGCACAATAAATGCAAGGAAAAATGGTGCAATACCTCTGGAGGAGTCTCCGGGTATACCGGCATTGTTACTAAATTTTTATTCATTGATGCTCTCACTAATGTATAATTAAAACATACCGGTAACTGACTAATATTTTTTAATTTTTCATTATTTTTATACTTTTTAAACAATTTAAGTAATACAAATTCTTTACAGCTTGACGTTTAAATAAATAAGGTTATGCATTTTATTTCTATTGCCTGCTGTGACCGTTAAAACCATAGATTAAAGAAATATATACTACCCATTGAAATAGACTACAGATACCCCTCCACTTCAATTATACATTCAGTTAAAATCATAGATATCTCATAGTTACCAATCATAGAACGGATCATGGATCTTAGGTAGTCTTCAACTATGCTGCATAGATTATGTAGGCTTTATATTTTTCTTTTAAAGTTATTTACGATGTGTTATATAATTTTAAAGGAATTATTACAAAAAATTACATTGACACTTACATTTTAAAAATTGAAATTAAATTAACTTTCCTTGCATAATGTTAGTTACATTTTTTATAATGTTTAATGTACCCAATAAAAAAAATTATAATATTCAATATGTATTCAAATACTCAAAAAAGAGTATTAGTAGTAAGGTATATTGTATAAATTAAATAGCTGATTATTGTTTTTGATTAACGTATTACTTAATAAGCAGGATTCAAGTGAACACTTCCAATGAAGAATGCGGTGCCTGTCTGAATAAGACTCGCAAATCGCAAAAGATAGAAAGACATTCCGATATAACTATCCTACTCCTTACAGAACAAGTCGGTGTGTCCTCCGCAGCAATAAAATTTTTAATTAATTCTCAGGACACCCCTTGCAATTACGTCATATCACTCATTAAAAGTACCGAAGTCGTTGAATCGTTACAGTTGAAGTTTCGTGTGTACAGTTTGTGCTATAAAACAAAAAATCGTTATGAGTGCTCCTGTGAAGAAGGTTCCCATTCATTTGCAGGTAAATTTAGTTTGTTTTTTTTTTAGAAATTGGGGTCAGCATTTAGTTAGTTAAGGTAGTTGTATTTTTTACCTAATTGCACGTCTTTATTTACTTTCATACATTTTTGGTAATTACTTGACCGACTGTGTAAGTTTACTTAGTTTTAACTACCTTAGACTTGAAAAGATTGTTATTGAAGAATTATTTGTTTACGGTTATTTAAATTACATATACTATCTAAACAGTTATTCTTTTATTTTTTCTTTTACGAATTGTAGTACCGGGTCATGAACTATTTATAAATCAGGTCGTTTACTGTTTACTGTAGTTTAAATAATTTTAAAGGGTTCAGTAGAGAAGATACCTGGCCGTTCTTTAATTTTGTAATGTAAGTCAGTATCAATCAGTTGGGAGTCACTAAATAACACTTTTACAGTAGATAAGATAAAAATAATTTTTATTAAGTACCTACCTATATTTGTCAATGAATACCATTTTAACAACAATTTCATAACATTGATAAACCAAGTACCAATTTATGTTTCTTTTTGAGAAAAATTAGACTACCTATCTAATCTATTATTTTTATGCCATACCAACTTGGATATTCAATATACGTAGAGTAATGATAAAAAAAAATTGCAGATAAGTGTCTAAACCTTTGGGCATTTGCTCTAAGCACTCTGCAAATATTTTCTATCATTCAAATATTGTTATACAAAATAATTTTGTTTAAAGGGAGTTACAGCTACATAATTGCTATTACTGCTACTACTGTATGCAATACATAATATGAAGTTGCTTCCGGTTTAATTCAAATAATTATCCTCATATACAGTCTCAAAAATTAACATAAGTTTATGTGTCTATATTAGAATATATGTACATTGTATGTTTGTTTACTGGCAGAATAGCATACCTGCCTTAATATGAATACATATCTATAAAATAAGTTAGAGGAAATGATATTTCAAACACGCACATTAAATTCGGAATAAGGAAATGAAATATGAGGTGTGATCAAAAAGTATTGTCGTTAGTAATACTAGTTTTTATTTCAAATACTGTAACAAAATAAGCAACAAAACTGTATTTATTTTCAGAGTTCTCAAAACCGCCTTTTAATAAAGAGTGGTAGAATTGTTAATGACGATGGTATATCAGAAAATGATGTTTTCATTGAAGACGGAATCATTAAAGAAATCGGTAAAAATCTCATTATACCAGGTGGTACCAGAACGATTGATGCAAGGGGGCTATTCCTTCTCCCAGGGGGCATAGATCCCGTTGGATGCAATTTTACAATAACGATTAATTTTCTTTAGATTAAATTATGCAACAAGTTGTTAGCGACAAGTAACTAATGCGCTTATTTGTATACCTAATTTAAAAGAACAATGACCTTAATATATAGGGTGTTCTGTATAATTATTTAAAATTAAATACTATGAAGAAAATTTTGTAATTTTAAACCGTTTTGTGTTTTGATTCTCTCATATATATATATATAAAGGAATACATTCTTATATATAATAAGGACTATCAACCAAATATTTATAGTTGAGATCAATGTAATACATGTCATAAAATTACGACGACAATTATTCATGTGGCACAATTAAGTACTTTTCGTTTGTTTACGATAAGTTAATTTGAAATGAATTTATTTTACTTTTAGTAATGGTAAGATGTAAATTTGGATATGTATTGAATTTCACACAAATTCATGCATTGCTAAATAATAAAAAATTGTTACGTTTGGCAACGTTCTATTCATCTAAAACTCTCAATGAAATTTTATAAAATGATTGCAATTAAATGAACCTAATAGTTTAAAGACCTTCTTTTACAATTACATGGAAAAAAATGATATTAACCAGTTCTCTTTGTAAAATGATATATATATCACAAAAGAATAAATGTAAAGCCATTTTTACCTGGAACTTTTTAAAAATATCTATTGTAATCAAAGTAATTTTGCAATTTTGGCCAATAAAGCCGATATAATTTAAATAAAAATTTTTTAGGTATAACGTTATGCTTTTGTAGGGACCTTTTAAATCTACACCCCGTACAACTATCAGCTGTATAAATTATACTGCCTAGATAACCGAAAATACAACTAACATGTACAGGTAGAAAATAACAGCTTGACAAACCTGGGAAAACATCCTTTATTTCAGGAGTGTATGGATGAATCCAACCATTCCTCTGTTGGATGATACACTGAAACATCTTTTACAGATGCTGCAGCACGAAGCGGCTACTTTTTATCAGTACATTATTTTTTCATTATATTTTAATTTGGTACATGATGAATCAATTTTGTCACAAACCACGCCATTGACTTTGGCATGTGAATACACAAGGAAAAGTAATACGTTTAAAATAAGCACGTGTTATTTCTAAAAATATTTATTATTTAAGGTGGAGACAAATCTGTTCGTTTTCACTGGCAACCGAACAGCTTATTACTCGGATCACGGTATCCAAGATGAGCAGGGTTGCCATGTTTACTACAACTTTATGCGCAAAGTACAATATTTCAACGATATTAATGATAATACAGCCTCAAATTTTAGAAAAATCTAACAGTAGAATATTTATACAAATTCGGTTTTTTTCATCTGAACATTACAATGCAGACTAGGTAATTGTCATTACTAAATTAAGGAAATAATTAGCTTAATCTTTTTTTGAGGTTTATAGCTTTTATGGCTAGATAAGTTAAAAATATTGTACCTAATCAGCTGAATTGTGAATTTTGTGGTTGATTAAAAGCAAAACTTTCATCCGTAATTACCTAATTACACTGAGGAGACTATTAATAAAACAACAACAAAATACTCAAATTGTTTAAGTGCTTTCAAGTTCAGGGGTCGAGAAATTACACACCCTGTGTAAATGTGGTCAAACTATTATCAATCATTTTTAAATTTTGTATCCATAGGACAATTTTTTAGTCACTATTAATACCCATTCTACGATTAAAGACGTATCTGTTAATAAATCTTCCTTTGTTCTTTTTTTGCATTTGTATTTACTTTCAATATTTATTTGTAACTCTTACTATGAATCTTTAATTTTTCATATATTAAACTTTTATTTGGCATTCTGATTTGAAAAAAAATTACAAGAAAATCAAGGCTGACATTGAAATTTGAATGAGTTATGCAAGTAAACTAATTGTAAAGGTGATAAAAATTAATTATGCTTATAACAACACACTGCTAAAACTTTTGAGAAAAAATTACTACTGTGTTTCCAAAAAAGACGGTAAAAACTACACAATATTCGTTTTATAATCCAAATACAGAAGTGAAGATAAACAATAGCACACACATTGTATCTTCTATAGGCAATTGAAACAAATAAAAAACTTAACCGACCTTGGAAACTGCAATGTGTTAAAAATATATGGAATTTAATGTTGTTTCGTGGTTTCGCTTATTAAATAATTAAAATTAATTANAAAGAGTGGTAGAATTGTTAATGACGATGGTATATCAGAAAATGATGTTTTCATTGAAGACGGAATCATTAAAGAAATCGGTAAAAATCTCATTATACCAGGTGGTACCAGAACGATTGATGCAAGGGGGCTATTCCTTCTCCCAGGGGGCATAGATCCCCACACACATTTAGACTTTGAATTTATGGGTACTGTTAGTGCTGATGACTTTTACCAAGGGACCAAAGCTGCCATTGCTGGAGGAACAACTATGATAAGTACGAGAACTGGTTCAAAATAATTCTGATTTTAAATGATTGCGTTTTTCCAGTCGATTTTGTAATTCCTAAAAAGGGCGAATCTCTTATCGATGCTTACCATTCATATCGCCAGAAAGCTGATGATAAGGTGTGTTGTGATTATGGATTACACTCCGCTATTACTAGTTGGGACCATAAAGTCAAGAATGAAATGGAAATTCTTTGTTCTAAATATGGGATTAATTCTTTTAAAATGTTTATGGCTTATTCATTTAGACTTGACGACTCCGAACTTTATTCTGCTTTTGAATATATTCGTAAATTAGGTGCCATAGCACTTGTTCATGCAGAAAATGGAGCAATTATTGAGAAGAACACGGAAAGATTATTAGAAAAGGGAATAACGGGTCCCGAAGGGCATGAACTTTCAAGACCTGAAGAAATTGAAGCTGAAGCTGTAAATCGTGCCTGTGTCATAGCTAAACAGGTATATGCGATTTTTTATGTATTAACGCATGAGAAACCTTATCCACAATACTATCGCAAATTTGATTAAATTTAAGAAAACTAACTTGGGGTTTTAAGAATTTCAGTACCTACTACAAATCTATATATTTGAGATTAACAATTATCTTCATGTAAAATACTTGATAGACTTTTATGAATACATAATTTTGTTCTTCATTCTCAAATGTCGTTATTTTTCACTTCAGCTAATTAATTAGTTTTATTTGAGGTAAATAAAATTTGCACCACTTGAGCTTTCAATGTTAAGACCATTTTCTGGCACTGCTTATTCACTAGAATAGTGTGAATTTAATTAAAGTTTTGCATGATACTTAGTCAGTATACATTAAAATATATATACGTTAGGCTCTGGTGGCATGTTATAGGTAGCTTGTCCTCTGTATATTGTGCATGTGATGAGCAAATCAGCAGCTCAAGCACTGGTTATTGCTCGTGATAGAGGTTCTCAAGTTTATGGAGAAACATTAGTAGCTGCCTTAGCCACTGATGGTTCACATTATAAACACAAATGCTTCCATCACGCAGCTGGCTATGTGCTGAGTCCTCCTCTTCGGCCGGACCCCACCACCCCTCAGTTTTTAATGAATTACTTGAAACAGTAAGTTTCTGTTCTTTCTACGTTTTTTTTTTTGTTTAGTTATTTTTAATAAATAGCTTTAATTGTACTGCTATCCCTGGCATTTGGTTTTACTATCATTATATTTCTTTTTTATGCTCTCTCATTATCCTTTGTGTGTCTTTAGAACTAGCTTAACATACCTACATTGTGGAAGGAGGTTCTTTAAATAATCTGATGTATTTTAAGATTTAGTCGTCTTTCGACAGTATTAAATTCTTGTAATGTTAATGAATTTTTTAAAGTGTTTTTAATATGTATTGAATGCATCAGTGTAGAGTCAAGCATTTTTAAGTACAGGTAAACGTCCCTTTGTATGTGACGCATGTGTCAAATGGTCTTGTTGGACGTGTGATCGCTGAAAAACAAACGGAGGGCCAAATTGTATATGGAGAAGTGCTTTCTTCTGCAATTGTTCATAACGGAAATAGTAGCAAAGTTACAACCATTACACCACCTTCTCATTCTAATAATGATAATGAATCCCCTTCCGAGCTTTTGGGGCTAATTTCGTCGTAAGTGTGTTTTAACAACTAACATTTATCCCCCCCTCGTGAAATTAAAAAAAAAATATCATCTGCTAGATTAATATTTATTGAGTATACAATAATTTAATTTTGAAAAACATTGTACAGTAACTGTAACGTTAAAAAAGTCACTACGGTCCATTTTCCTGAGTTAATACATATTTATATCAAAATTATCTGCATGGGTTCTATTTATGTGTTTGTAAAATGAAAGTATTTGTTATTACGTGTTGTGTATTTGCAACTAAATGTTTGTTGCTACAAGTTTTTCGTATTTGGTTAATTTTCAGAGGAAATTTGCAAGTTGTCAGTAGTGATAATTGCACATTTACTAAGGCACAGAAGGAAATTGGGAAAAATGATTTTTCGAAGATACCAAATGGAATTAATGGTGTCGAGGATCGTATGTCGGTCGTTTGGGAAAAAGGAGTTTTTACAGGATGCATAAGTCCTTCTGAGTTTGTTGCTATAACGAGTACAAATGCCGCAAGAATTTTCAATCTTTACCCAAGAAAAGGGTGTATTGCGGTTGGATCAGACGCAGATCTTGTCATTTGGAATCCAAACAAAACGAGAGTTATATCGGCTAAAACTCATCATCATGCTGTTGACTTTAATATTTTTGAGGTATAATTCATAAAACAACACAAATTTTGTTCGTTTTTAATAATTATGTTAAGGGAATGGAATGTCATGGGGTCCCAGAGTATGTTCTTGTAAGTGGTAGAGTTTGTGTTGATGAGGGCCAACTTAAAGTAGTTCAAGGCTTTGGTCGTTATATCGAGAGGCCAGTTTTTCCCCCGTATGTCTTCCATCAGTTACAGAACGGTTCTGGTTATGAAAAGCATCTTTCAGAGGTATAAAAGTAAAATTATTTTGTTTTTGTTTTCATCCTTTCTATCTTGTTATTTGCAGCTGTCAATTGTGGAACAAAAACAAGATATGAATGAGCATAAAGGTATTATCATGAAATAAAAAGGTGATCCCTACAATAATTTATTTTATTATGTGCAGGTGACCAAGCAGTTTATTTAGAGGAACAAACTCCACAAACAGCCTTTACAGCAAACGATGGTAGCCAATGGAAAGTTTAATCTGTAATTATTATTAATGATATAATTGTTTTTTTTTTTCAGCATCAACACCATGTTGTAAAGGAGCTAGGCCTGAGAGTTCGAGAAATTTACAGGATTCTACTTTCTCATTATCCTGTGAGTTCATTTTTTGTGATGGTTATTTATCATTTAAAATTTTCAATACATGAATTTTTTTAGCTGAAAATGAGACAGATGTCGAAAGAAGGTCCTGCATTAAGGTTAAAAATCCTCCTGGAGGAAAATCTTCCGGATTTTGGTAAATTATCGCGCTATCCATGTTGTCCTAAGTTCACGATGTCTCAGAGAAATGATATGATTAGATTAATCACTAAATGATTTTTTATTTTTATTGATTTAATTTTAAATATTTATTGTAGCATAGGGCGATTTGGTAAATTTGGTTTAACTGATGAATAGATTATGTTTAGTAAAAAGAAATAGGTTAAACGTTTAGTGTTTAATTGTACCATTACATATGTACGTCCTTTTATTTAATTATCATCACGTTTTATATGTTACAAACGATACCAAAGTTACATTAATCGTAATGCTACAATATGTTAAAAAATCGTTAGCTTTATGAAGTTAATGTTATTTTTAAAATGGTTGTGTTGTTTTTCTATCTGTTAAGAAAAATAATAGCTTTTAGCACTGAATATTAATGTTGATAATTAAATGTAACTGTTTGCAAAGCTTTCATCAAATATGGTTTATAAGAAATATGTAAGAATGTATTAATATTTAATAAATAGCTTGTGTCAGAGAATTGATGTTCATTAATTAATAAAAGTTATTATTCAAGATATTAATTGAAGCAATGAATATGCATAGGGGATGTATTTTCTCTCTAGAACAGTTCTTAATTAATTATTTATAAAATTAAAAGAGTTTTTAAGAAGGCTCGTTGGAAGAAAATGAGATAAATTAGGTAATTATTAAAAAATGTGTAGGCAACCTCTCATACAGTACTGTAAAGAAAGTTATCTTCCTACATAACAACAAAAGTCTGGGAAAATTTAAATATGTTGATAAATTATGATAGTAAGCTATACTATTTATTTCCTGGCAAATTAAAAAATGTACCTATTCAAAAAACTTGAGCACTATGGTGCATAGATAGTCTTATAATAAATATACTCCTAAAAATACTTAAAAAAAAATAAAAATAATTATATTTACCAAATTTACTACAGAACATTTCAGATCATTGTAGTAAGAGC